TAATACATGTATCGTTTTTGAGAAACTGGTTATAAGTTACAATATAACCTGCGTTAATGAACAAAGTGTAACATGTTTTAATGAACATCTGTTCCTGATACATGTCTCGTCTTTGAGAAACTGGTTATAAGTTACAGTAAAACCTGCGTTAATGAACAAAGTGTAACATGTTTTAATGAACATCTGTACCTAATACATGTATCGTTTATTAGAAACTGGTTATAAGTTACAGTGCAACCTGCGTTAATGAACAAAGTGTAACATGTTTTAATGAACATCTGTACCTAATACATGTCTCGTCTTTGAGAAACTGGTTATAAGTTACAGTAAAACCTGCGTTAATGAACAAAGTGTAACATGTTTTAATGAACATCTGTTCCTGATACATGTCTCGTCTTTGAGAAACTGGTTATAAGTTACAGTAAAACCTGCGTTAATGAACAAAGTGTAACATGTTTTAATGAACATATGTACCTAATACATGTATCGTCTTTGAGAAACTGGTTGTAAGTTACAATATAACCTGCGTGAATGAACAAAGTGTAACATGTTTTAATGAACATCTGTACCTAATACATGTCTCGTCTTTGAGAAACTGGTTATAAGTTACAGTATAACCTGCGTTAATAAACAAAGTGTAACATATGTACCTAATACATGTATCGTCTTTGAGAAACTGGTTGTAAGTTACAATATAACCTGCGTTAATGAACAAAGTGTAACATGTTTTAATGAACATCTGTACCTAATACATGTATCGTCTTTGAGAAACTGGTTATAAGTTACAATATAACCTGCATTATTGAAAAAGTGTAACATGTTTTAATGAACATCTGTACCTAATACATGTATCGTTTATTAGAAACTGGTTATAAGTTACAATATGACCTGCGTTAATGAACAAAGTTTAACCTGTTTAATTAACATCTGTACCTAATACATGTATCGTCTACGAGAAACTTGCTATTAATTACAGTGCAACCTGCGTTAATGAACAAAGTGTAACATGTTTTAATGATCATCTGTACCTAATACATGTATCGTCTTTGAGAAACTGGTTATAAGTTACAATATAACCTGCGTTAATGAACAACGTGTAACATGTTTTAATGAACATCTGTACCTAATACATGTATCGTCTTTGAGAAACTGGTTATAAGTTACAATATAACTTGCGTTAATGAACAAAGTGTAACATGTTTTAATGAACATCTGTACCTAATACATGTATCGTCTTTGAGAAACTGGTTATAAGTTACAATATTACCTGCGTTAATGAACAAAGTGTAACATGTTTTAATGAACATCTGTACCTAATACATGTATCGTCTTTAAGAAACTGGTTTATATAAGTTACAATATTACCTGCGTTAATGAACAAAGTGTAACATGTTTTAATGAACATCTGTACCTAATACATGTATCGTCTTTAAGAAACTGGTTATAAGTTACAATATTACCTGCGTTAATGAACAAAGTGTAACATGTTTTAATCAACATCTGTACATAATACATGTATCGTCTTTGAGAAACTGGATATAAGTTACAGTTGAGTATAACCTGCATTAATGAATATCTTATTCCTTATATCATCTTTGCAAAACTGGCTTTAAGTTATAGTATAACCTGCGTTAAAGTATACCTATATCCAACATCATCTCTCGAGAAATTGACTAGACGTAACGATTTATTCTTGGTTAATGAACCCCTTTGTTCTAAACTTTCAACATCCAATCATCTTCTCGATGGATGCTATCGTGTATAGGTGTGTCAATAACAAGATATATTTGGAAAACTAGTGTGTATATCACAGGTTAACACTGTGCGTAAGGATATAAGTAAAGCAAGCAGTCAATGTGACAAAAGAACATTTATTTTTGTGTCTTATAAAAACAATGTATACAGCAGTATGTTTTATAATTGATGAACAATGTAAAACGCCAAGCACAAATAAAAAATAATAAATAATGAAAAGTAAGCAGTATGATTTATAAATTGATGAACAATGTTAAAAATACGTCAATCACAATAAATATAATAAAATAATGAATCAACAAATCATGCTGCAGTCATGTCTGTGACAATGGGGAGTAATTAATTGATCATTGGCTGGGTTCGTTTGACTGTAGTTGATCACTGCGCAGTTGATGGGTTCGATTAGACTACTTTCGTGACGTCACTATAGTCTAACCATTGTAAGTTTTCGGGTGACCATAGTTAGCGCCTAAACCCTGCCATTGTCAGCGCCATTTTAAGCGACAGTATGTGACAGTTTGTTATTTATTTGTATACATAATACTATTGCACGTTTCTGACGTCGATTTTTACTGGATATATTCTATAGTACCTCCAGCATGTTTATTTTTTATTCTTATTCTGATAAATGAAGTAATAATGCTGTATTTTAAAACTGTTTTAAAAATATTTTATGGCTGTAAATAAACTTTTTTTTAAATACAATTCTCGCCTATAGTAGCACTGATAACATATATAACTACTCATGTCCTATATTTATATATAGTCTATCACAGGATAAAAATATGAAATTGTTAATTAATCATGTCTAAAAAAACGTCTGTTCGACAAAATTGTAAGATATGAAAATCAATTGTACAGAACATGTTTGCATGATATGCAGAGTTACATTATATCACAGTATATTGCACAAACAAACAAAAACAATAACAACAACAACAAACATATTAACATCTAATTCGTGTCATGCAAAAACAAGAAGAGAGACCCATTGTATTCATTAAATAAATGCGTAAAAGTGTATTGTTAACCACGTGATAGGTTATTTGTATAAAAACGAAAATATGTCATATTTGGTGTGTTTAAACAATTCAACTTTAAATTCTACGACGATACAAGGTTTTATCGAACTGAATTCTTGCCCCACTCCATGAATATACCGTTAGTTAAGCATGATTTTACCCTTTGTTACCAGATTTCAAGATCGCTGCCTTGAGAGTAACACAGCCAACTTCCCCCATAAAGAATGACTGTGCAAAGTTTTTTGGCAAAGAAAAATGTGATTTTAATTTGATAAGTAAATATAACCCATTCCCTGTAACCCCCTCCCCAAGTCATCCCTAATCTTTGTAAAAATTAGACAATCTATTCCTACAGATGATAACCTAACGTTCATTTCTGTTTCAAAACATTATCAGGTCATCAATGAAATATTGTCTCCTTGAATATTCATTCTTCGCTCGAATTATTTCAAATAAGTAATAACAGAACATAATGAATTTACCAAATTGTGGAATTTCTGATTAAAAGTACATTGCTTTTAAGTTAATATATCTAGATATTTAAATATGTTGTTATTTTCGTTTCACGCAAATGTATATAAATAAAAAATCCGATACATTTATGTTTTTATTGATGAGAATTGTAATGTATTACAAGAACGTAATTGTAGAGAACCGAACAAACGCCGACGTATAACGTAGTGTGACTATGAATCATTGCGGGACAATCAATCCACATTCTTGTTCACCTTTCCCATATATACGTGAATATAATTTGAAAATATTTACAAATAAAATTGTTGACAGATGATATGAAGTTCAGATGTCAATAGCCGGGATAATCTGATGTAAACATTTAGTACATGTACACTAAAATCAAAACAGTCTGTTAAATATAAACAGACAATATTTCCTCTTATTTTAATTAACAAACAACGTGTAATAATACAATTATTTCAGATAAAATGTGTAAATTGGAGAGCCAGCGAAATTTGTATAAAAATTAACATTGACGTACATGATTTGTCAGTGTTTTATAATAAAATCATTTATAAACCATAATTATCCCTAACTTTTACTGACTCTCTTTTTCTTCTATGAAAATTAACACTCATAATTTTTAAGAAATACAGCGTTTTTATTGGATGACAAATAAAGCTGGACACTAAGCTTGAATTTATATTATACTCGAAATGAGACAACGTGTATTATTGGGGAACTAACGACTTTTGTATGAAATCAACATGTCCAGGCACGTTATTTGTCAATATTTAAAATGAAGTCAATAATAAACCATAATATCCATAACGTATAATGGGTGTCAAAAAACCGCAAAATACATGTACATGAATGGATGTAGCTTTTCTCGCTCCGACCAATGTTCGCAATTAAAACCTATATTCATTATACATGTATATTATCATGAGCGTCTAACCACAATGATTAAACAACAATCGTAATAGTTTTCAAAAGATTACATATTTTACGTAAATGTAAAAACATTTAAATCATGTACAGTCGCTGAACCGCTGAACATGGAGTCTCCGTTCAACCTGATTAATGAACGCAATGAACGCAATGCATTACATGTAAAATATAAGATCTGCGCTTTAGTCAGATTGATGGAGTGTCTACTACAATGGCCGGGCTACTGGGTAAAATGTATCATGTCTTAATATGGGTAAAATATAGTCAATGATTACCACTAGTAGATCATTAATCCAGTATATTTGAATAATAACAAATGGATAAAAAGTTCGTCAGTAACTGGAAAATGATAAGCGAAAATTATATTACACCTGAGGAATGCTTCAAATAAAATATACAAATAAATATCATAATATCAAAAACCTGACACAAAAAAGATGCCAATTTATATAAATTAACGATAAACCAGTTTCAGAAAAAAATAGGTATATACAAGTAAGGTGAGAACTTATGTGAAATATAGCTATATATGGCATTTCGAAATATGACACGTAATGACAATTAAAAGATGATTAAATAATTAATGAAACATGGCACGTCATATTAAATGTACATAATATTGCTAAATGTGCATATGAAAACTGATAAAATAAGGCACCCAAGATAATATGATTTTGCACATGCTTAGAAATGACATAATATAATGAAGAAATATGACACGATGAAATGACAACGATTGTGTACTATAACCAGCAGTGCCACATTACCGCGAGTGTCAGATTATCTTGACAAGCTTGCTTTAATACATTTGAGTACCCTGAGCGCAAAGTCCAAGTCTTCGTCTTCCTGCAGTGCACGGCTCGACCATTCGGCGGCCTCTTCCTCTTTGATTCTTACCGACAAACGGTCGGTTTTGTCCAGGAATCACCATTCTGGCTATCTTTGCTCCCTGTGGACCTTAAGTATAAAATTTTGCATTTTCAGATAAATTTAGTAAATGGTATAAAATTGAAAATATCTAAGTCCTGGATTGTAAATCTCTTTAATAATTGTTTCACCTTTTGATACATCATTAATGATAGAATACGTTTTACTTTCATCATGCAAGTTGTTAATTGAGCTAATTTGAACCAGCACCTATGCAGCTTAATTAAAGTTCCCCAATTCAATTTTAATGGATCTCTTTGTTAAAATTCTCGTAAAATACACTTTTCTGTTGAGGAAATGCTAAATACATATTTTGCTGTGAATAAAATTATATGTATTTATCACGATATACGGCATTTTATAGCTTCTCCTCCGAAATAGAGATAAGATGCGCACAAAGAATAGACCAAAATAAATACCAAAAAAAGAAACAAAACAAATTTATACCAGTTCTATTTCCACCTCTTTGATTTTTTATTTTTTGGTTTTGTTTTCTTGCCTTGTTGGCTTGTTTTTGTTGATGCTTTTGTTGCCGTTGAACTTGTTTTTGTCTTTGATTCTGTAGTTGACGCAGCTTTCTTGCCCGTCTCCTTTCTTGCCGTAGCTGCCTTGAAAGCCCTCTATTCTTACTGTAGGTGTTCAAAGACGCTTGTGCTAGCAAGTTATCTCTTGGGGAAATCTGAACAGCTTCAGTCTGTACCGGTTGAACTGAATGAATAAAGGATAGTTTATACATATTCATGTACATGCATATACATTGTGTACAAGTAAATTCGATCATCTTTTCTATAAATGAAATATTAATTTAAAAATTTTAAAGAATGACTGATCGTTGAAAAAGGCTTCACTTAATCCAAAGATGTTTTCGCCGAAAATGATTTATTTTGAACATTGATGTTAATATTACTTCACTACTTAACTACGGTAAGAGGAATTGTAAATGTGCGCTGAGCTAGGCATTCAAATTGAAGATTGTTTCTTACGATTTACACTAGGTTATGGTCATATCATCTCGAAAAGTAAAAACATTCAGCTGCGTAATAAATACCATATATATGTTATAACAACAAAATAACACGATAAACTCTAACAATAATTGTTTCAATAATCTTACCTGGAAACGATTTACTAGGTCTCCGTCTGTCTTTTGTGTAGAGCTGCATCCAGCTGTTTGGTATTTCATTTGAGATGGGCTTAGCGGTGTCTGCAATTGGTGAGCTAGACCCTGATCGTCTCCTACTATCGTAGCCTTGACCTTTATTCACGTTATCTAAAACTGAATCTAAATTAACAGGTGTACCAAATATTGGTCCGAGTGGAATAACGTTTGGATCATTCTTTGGTATTTCTGGTATGTTCTCTACAGGTCCAAATGGTATTACATTTGGTTCTACTGGTTTAAATGCTTCTTTATGTGGTAGTGGCTTCGTGCCCAATGGTTCATTTTGCATTATATTATTGTCGGTTGGTCGAAGTGGTATTGCATTATGATCAACAAATCCTATTGGGATAACATTATGATCAGAAGGACCTAGCGGTATTGTGCTTTGATCAACGGGTCCAAGTGAAATTACACTATTGTCACCTGCTGGATTAATTGGTTTAAAATGAGGATCAGCTATCTTTTCCGAAACGATTGGTTTAACAGGTCCCAAAGGATTCAAATCAACAGGTGTACTGTCAGGTAAAATAGGAGTTTGATTATCTGGCTGAAAATCTACGTTTGTTCCTGCTGAAACTGGATTTAGATTGACGTCTGTCATTGGTTCTTCTGGCAGAAAAGAATCCCAGGGATCAAGGGCATTTGGTTCTAGTTTAGCAACACCTAAAGGTTCACCCATCCAGTTATCAGTCGGCTGAAACGTGTTCTCTGTTCCATCGATTAGATTAAGAAATTTGTCACCCGTGGGCATACTTGGTAAGAAGCGAAAGAATGGAGAGTCATTTGTTTTAGTAGGTACATCTCCTCCTGCCATGCCTTGATCTGGTGTCAATGGGTCAACTGGTAATGGATCTATCGGTAGACCTGAATCCAACGGCGTTCCTGCTCCTAGTTGGATAGGCTCTGATGGAATACCAGCATCAAATGAGCTTAAAGGGTCTAACGGATGCCCAGAGCCAGTTGCCGGTGACGTGCCTGTGTCCACTTGTTTTACACTTGACGTGAAGGAATCCGAAGGTATATCATTATTAATTGCAGGATCTGTTTGAATCGGAAGGCCTGGTTTTGACTGTACTTGTGAGCCTGAATTTGTGTTGCCATGTTTAAAGGTGTTAGGTATAAATTGAAAGAAAGGCGATTCTTGATGAATTGATGGTACATCTCCTCCAGTTGTACTTTGATCCATTGCAAATGGATCGTTAGCAAATGGATCGTTAGCGAATGGGTCGTTAGCAAATGGGTCATTTGCAAATGGGTCGTTTGCAAATGGGTCGTTTGCAAATGGATCTCCTTGAGAACTAGGGTCCATTGCTTCCCCTGGAAATTGATCAGCACCATTCCCAGTATTAGAAGTAAATTGATCTGAAGGTGATCCAGTCCCTATCGACTTGGAAGAATCTGTAATTTTTATAGGTGGCTTATTTGACAGAGAGGTATCTGCTTGCAACCCTTTAGCTTTTTGAGTGTCTGTGTTAGGTTGAAGAGAGTTGATGGGCGTTCCCAAAGAATCTAAGGGAGGAAGGTGGGCAAAATTTGAATCCGATGCCGTTCCTGTGTTATCTAATGGATTTAATTCCATAAAGCTAAAGATGTCTTGCATAAGCTCTGAAAGACAATCAATAACCAAATATTAATGGTTGCCAAAACGTTAATGTATTAAAAAAAATTCCATATACAATTGCAGATTTTTTTTCTATCATCTGTGTCGCAATGCATCTTCTAATAGTTTTAATTTAAAATCAAAGCAGTTTACACATTTGTCAATCTATACATGAGTTCTTTTTTGCAATATCGGTGTTATGGCAAAACTATAAAAAAGCTATAAACTGGGAGGGGAAGTAACTTCTCTCCATGAATGTGCATGATTCAAACAATCTTTGAAGCTCAATTTCATCCAAATTAAAATTTATTCGTACGAAGTGTGTATATGAAAATCACTTTTACTTGTATTCTCATAGGACTAAATCTTTTCATATACACATAAATTTACTGCCAGTGCTCATTTATCACATTCTTCTATTTTGAGAGTGTAATGTTTGTCCTTTCTTGTACATGTAATTTCTTTGCAACAATTCTTTTTAAACGAAGTTAATATTGTTTTTGACGCGGTATCAAACTGTAATAACGGAAAAATTACCTTGTGATGATACGTGCCTGACATTGCTCCCAAAGAAAACACAAACACATACTAGCAGTAATTTGGATTTCATTCTAAATGTCTGAAATAAACATAAGTCAAAAGACGATATTATATTTGTGGTAACTATCATTTAGACTTGATAAGCAAAAAATATTATTTCAAATGTCGGCGACTCGGCGTTTCTAGATCAGTTAATTCTTTAATAAAGGTAACAACACCAAATTTGTTCACAATTTTGAACGGCTTGGGAAGTTGATAACTTAAGCCGACCACAAGAATGGATTTTAGAGGCGGCAGTTTTAAAAAACAAAGTACCTCATACATCGCAAAACTTTTGAAAGTAAGTAATATCTCGAAAAAAATAGGATATACTTTATGGCAAATAGAGAATAATATACTAGTTAATAGAATAGGTCGCTGTTACATTATGAAATACCAATACGACGATAAAAATAAGTATCAAAATAGACATATACTTACATAATAAAAAGTCCAATGTATTTACTCCCTTCTTGGCGAAGGCAAAGTTTTATAAAACATACGGAACCAATCTTGTAAATATTTGTTCAAAGTTTCAACGTATCACGCTACAGCTGTATGCTGTATTTTACTGACGTAAATTAACGTACATACGTAACGCATTAAATGTTTTAAGTGTTAGTACATGAATGATTGCTTTTATTACTTTTTAATGTTATTGTGGTATTAGGCAAGGCGAGCTCATTTGTCAACTATTTTTACCTATACTTATGAATATTCGTACATTTAAATATTTTACGTAACGTAAAACGTTGTCAGACAGACAAGGTATCTATTTTTAAAGCGTGTTTATGTTTACAGACCTATTAACTTTAAACAAGGTGCGATTAAGTGAAGTCCAATGATCGTTTCTAGCTGGGTTGCGTGACGTGAATGTTGCTTTTCCGTGTTGATCTTTGCTCGCATATTTTAAACACATGATTTTTAAAGCGGTATTTCAAATTAATGTAATCATAACCATAGAAAAAAATAAATACGCATACCACCTGAATACCTGGCTTCGCTTATACCAGATCCCACAAACACACGCTATACCTTAAGGAACTCAAATGACACAAGTGGTATATTAGCAAGAACTTTTAATTCTTTTTTCCCAACTGCCAGAAGTGAGTGTAAACATACTTTTGCTAACACTTTCACAGAATCTAATAGAAATTACTTAAGAGAGTTTATCAGCTTTATTTACAGTGAACAATGTTGACCAGTTAGATTTATTAATGAACTATATTTGGATTTATAGAGAAAACTTATTTATTTGAAATAAAATGCGTATTTTCATTACCCGTTTTCTTTTTTTCATTGTAAAAAAATATTTTTCATTGCAGTGAAAATAACATATTTTCCGTATTTTCACTTGTGTTTTGCCGGACTACTTTCTTCTAATTTCAGCCAATATACAAAATTTGAGGGCAAGTGTTTCAAATTGTAATGTCAAAAAGAGAAAAATGTATAAAATAATACCGCAACTCATGGAATATTTATTTTCATACATATCGATATAAAATAAATCATGTATTTACAGAAGAAAAAAACTTGAACATCCTCTATTACTACTGACCAAGTAATTTTGTTTTGCATCTTTTAAATTTCAACATAACATCATTATTTCATCTGAAATCAAGCTTTCTAATTTAAAAAAAATCACACAATTTATTACATTTTCCGTGTATGTAATATTTAACTCTTAAGTATTTCCCCTGTTTTTTATATTAAATGTTATTTTCCATTAATTTATAATTTTATTTAGACGTTTTTAGTATAAAAATAAAAAAGAGAAGAAAGGAATCTGTTTACAAAAGTTTACAAAAGTAAAATCTTTTCCCCATATTCTATCATGAAGAACACTATATAATCTATAGGGCAACAGTGCGACAGTGCGATGACGACAATACGACAGTATCGTACTTTCATCATCGCGTTATCGCACTGTCGCCATCGCACTAACACATAGACGTCATCGCACTATCCCGCTGTCGATTATCGCCCTCTTGATTATAAAGTTTAACCATGATGGCCCTCATGGTATTCCGTAGCTTACATCTGAAAAAGTCTAAACGGTTTTCTTTGACATAAGTAAGGTATGGATAAGGTGTGGCACAAAGGCCTGTTGGTCAAACAGGAAAATGCTGGTATTTCGGGTAAATTATTAGACTGGTTTTCAAATTATCTGTCCGGAAGACGAAAAAAGCGGTGTGCTACCTAGTACTCAATCAATATGGGATGCAGTTAGCGCTGGAGTTCCCCAGGGCTCAATTTTAGGCCCCCTATTATTTCTCATTTTTATAAATGATCTGGTCGTTGACATTGGCAGTCATATCCGGCTTTTTGCTTAAGATACTAGTTTATATATTGTTTTTGAAAACCCAAATGCTGCTGCAGAACTCCCCCAATTTGATATCCTGAAAATAACAGAGTGGGCCGATACGTGGTAAGTTGACTTCAATCCTGCAAAGTCCGAATGCCTATTGCTAAGTAGAAAAATGCATCAGCAAACCACCCATCTCTAAATATGCATGGCCAAATTATACCGAAAGTAGAACATCACAAACATCTGGGTATCATTCTTTCAAATGACTGCGCTTGGCATGAACATATTTACTATATAGTAAATAAAGCATGGAAACGGGTTCACATCATACGCAGATTGAAGTTTACTCTTGGTTGGAAATTTCTTAAAGTAATATACAACTCTTTGATCCGACCAATTTAAGAATATGGTGATGTCATTTGGAATTGCTCTATGGCTGAAAAGGATATGCTTGACAAGGTGCTCGTATTGTATCGTGATCAACCAAACTGGTCTCTCTCGATAAACTTCAACAGGATAAGTCATCCCTAGAAGAGAGAGACGACGCGTTCACAGGCTTATAATGTTCTATAAGATGATAAATTATCTTGCACCAGAATACCTAACAAATCTCGTCCCTCAAATATTGGATCAACGTCTTCGTACAACCTAAGAAACCAAGACAAGTTGAGACCTGTACATTCCCGAACTAACCAATATTACAATTCTTTCTTACCCGTGACAGTTCGTGAATGGAATAACCTATCAACAGATGTAAGACATTCACCCACTTTCAAAGCTTTTAAAAGTAAAGTTATGCCCGTCCGTGATAGTACGTCCGCTTATTTTTACAGCGGATCACGAATGACACAGGTCTTACATGCTAGGCTCCACATGTCTGTAGCAAACTAAATTCGAAATATAGTCCAATAGCCCCTTTGTCATTGTGGAAAAACCTGAAAACAACTAACACTATCTTCTCGAATGTCACTTTTATAGTTGCCACCGTACATGCCTTCCCACAAAAGTGCGTCAAATCACTCAAAATGTCTCTCTTTATACTCTCCTGTTTTGGGATGTTCCCTTTTTTGATCTGATAATGCGAAGTTATTTCTGGTCGTCAAAAAAATACAGAATGGAAAGTGGGACGTTTACATGACGATCAAATATCTACGATTTAACTAAAACATTGGTTATTATACTTTATATGTGCTTAAAAATAGTTTCCAAAACTCTAAGCCTTGGTTTTCATCTTAATCTCCCTTCTTCTCTTGCTTTAAGGTTGTTTTTTAATCTTTTAATAGATTATAATTAAATATTTATCAATTACATTTGTACGTATAGTGTAAGTGCCTTACCATTTGTGATTTTTCCCCCAAAATATTTGATATACAATCAATATAAGCGGTTGCGGTACACATTTGCAATATGCTCTTTACTTGTTCATCTACCAGCCATGCATTAGTTTTATTGTAATTTATCAATTATGGAGATTGACTTTAATAAGCACCTAGTTCTTTCGTCAAAATCCATTGGGTGCATTATGTTAGAATGGTTGTTAAAATATATGTATAATGTCTGATTATATAACATATGCAATAAAATATGTTTAAACTAAAAAAAATCGTATGCCACATGAATAGTATTTCAAGGAAGTAACATATAAATGTTAAATAACGGAGCTGCAAAAATACATATATTATAACATTGTATTAAGGTTGTATACTGTACGTAATAAGTAAATACATGCTATATAAAAACATATTGACATGAAACAAGTTTAAAAACAGCGATAACAATTAATTACCCAAGTCAAATTACATGTATGGAGCAAAAATTTATTGCTGATGTAACAAAACTGTAGGAGACCTTAGTCTAGTATTATTGAAAGAAACAAAACTGAAAATAGGGAAAAATTGCCATGCTTGGTTTATTTTCCTGTGTGCCGAGTCGTGCTATATAATATGCTTTTTAGCCGGTGGAAGGTTCATGTGGGAAATACCGGTGGAAAATGAAACACTCAAAATGAGACCCTTGTGCTGAGCGCAGGTATGACCTTCTTCAGGTTAATGTCAAGGTCACACTACTAAGTCATAATGTTGTAGCTCAAAATTTTGTGTCTGCTTTGTATACTTTAAACCAACTGTAGCATGTATAAGAATCTCTTAGTATTCATTTGACAAAAGCATAGGTCTTTGGCATGTTTCAATATAGATCTCATTTACTATTATATGGGTTTTTTTTCCAAATAAAACATGTTCTGTGTAAGTGTAATAAATGGGTTTCCTCTCTATTACTTAAGAAATGCATTCGGGCGGGTATTGCCCCTGCTATGCGGTGCTCTTGTTTAAAATTGCAAAAAAAACAACAGATGTTTAATATTCACTCATGGTGAATTATACTGCTTAATTAAATTTTGTGAAATTTATTACGTTTGTAAAGAACATTTTTTTTTCTTTTAAAGAACTTAGTATTCCGTACTTTTAACTTGATCTTTGAAGTCTGTTTATTATGATTGCTATCTCTTACAGTACGTTTTCAACAGAAAAAACAACAACAACAACAACAAAACTATTCTATATAGCGTGTCTTCCCGGGGGGTGGAATCAAGCGTAAAATAAGTTCGAATATGTTTAAAACAAGGCGAAAATAATTGCCGAAGTAAAGGCAATAGTAAGACCGTGAATAAATGGAGGCAATTCATCTCTTAGCAGGCTATGTGGTTTGACCCCTGGTGTTATTTTAACTTTGTAACACCTGAGATTAGCCAAATCATCTTCCTGTTTCCGCGCCATACGACCTTAACTGTGTCAGTGAGCCGTAAAAGCAAAAATTTGCAAAGCCTATGGTGTCTGATTTGGTACGCTTTTGTGCGTCTAGTTGGCGCTAGCGACAACATGACAAAGCGCCAAAACGGTGCGTTGTTGCACTGTCGTCATGACGTCCTGTCGCTAGCGCCGTTTGGCGCTTTGTCGTGTTGTCGATAGCGCCAACTAGCCGAACAAAAGCGTACCAAATCAGCCACCATTAAAGCCTGCAGCACTTCCCCATATGAATTCAATTCGCACCTCACAGAGCCGAGTACATATTATCGCTTTTAATCTTTTTTCTTCATACGTTTTATCAATTTATGTTTCTTTCATCAAATCATTTAGTCTTAAGTACAAAAAAAAGAATAAACTCATTTTTCTCGCAAAAATAGCGAAAGGAAAATTAAATGAAATTTGGTTCACTGCTTACTTTGCTTAATTGTGCAATCTAGACAATGTATCAGATGCTCGCTTTTTTCTGGTAAAATAAAATATCTATCGTCACGTGGATTATTACGTAACTTAACAGTGTACAAAGTCACAAACTAATGCGTATTTCAACAACGTTATTGATTTCCTACAATTACAATTATTTCTTTTTATATATAATATAACTAAACGTAAAGCCTACATCGTACGGAATCGTCCAGCACATGATCATGAACGTTTTTACATTTTAATCATTAGTGGGTTTTGAGAACTATATTCACTGCGCAAAAAGTAATGTAATAATTTAGTTATGCTCGCTCAAAATCCCCGGTTACAGTTGCTTCAGAATCTCAGTAATAAAACTAAAATGCTTATTACCGTTGTTTAAAAAATAGTTTAAGGTTGATTGGTTTTGGTGTTTATTTTTTTTTTTATCAAACACGGAAATGTAACAAAAGTATTAAATGTTGCAAGAAGCAAATAACTTAACACAGCATAAATATAATGAAATAAAACAGAGTAAAGAAACGACTACTTTTTTTTTATTTAATTGTGATATATGTGTATAGCATATGACTCTATACTTGTCAAAATATAACAAAAAACAACTTTTAAAAGAATTACGTCACTGATCTACTACATTACGTTTTCCCCACTATATATCTATCAAAACTCGCAATATTTCTAAACATTTCCCTTGCTTTGATGTCTATTTTTGTATGAAATATTTGTTTCTTTCTTCTGCGTTTTCTTCCTGGGTGACTTCTTTTTGTTCATCCGTTTCTTATCCTTTTTTCCTAGGCGTACCGTTATTTTGGATTTTACATTTCCTCTTTTACCATTCGTTTTATATGTAGTTGTATGTACGTCTTTCTGAGCAACGGGCTTTTTCGAGCCATTCTGTCCGCCATCTTTGAAGGTAGCAACAGTCATCGGGCGTTTCTTTGGCATTTTCCTTCTATTGAGACTTCTTAGCCGTTTTCGCAGTCGTTTTATTCCTTTCTTTGGTCCGATCTTTGGCTTTGGACAATCTTTACCAAGTTTGATCACTCCCTTTTTATCTGTCAGAATGTTGAGAATTCTTTGCCGTATTTCTTGTGTTGATAGTTCGGAGCGTTTTCCGCTTTTGTATGACATTATGCGGTCTATGACTTTAGATAACTTATTTGAGTGTATTTCCCTTGCTTGCTTTTTGCCTTTATATTTCCATTTGTTTCTTTTCTGTACCATTTTCTTGTTCTTGTCCTTCAGATTTAGCTTCTTCAGTTCCTTCTGTCTCTTATTATTCTTCTTTATCAGTTCTTTTAATTGTTTTTTCTTCATTTTTGTTCTCCATTTTTGTAGTTTGGACTTCTTCTTTTTAATATGTGTTGGCATAGACTTTAGTGGTTTTATTTTATTAATACCTAGTACATTATCTGCCGGTAGACGTTTGCTGTAATTGTCATCCTTATGAAGAAACATTTTATTAATTTCTGATGATGGAATGTCTTTTAGATTGCCAACAATAACAAGCCTATCATCCTTTGGCTTTCCTGTCAACGCATCCTCTGAAATGGAATTAGCTAATCATACAACATAGTAGAGCAAGAATTTAGTGGCATGCGCCATTTTCATTCACGTTTTGATGGCAAATTAAAATTGCTGCTATCTTGACCATTCCAATTTGTCATAAACAATAGTTTCATATATCTACCATGTGTCTCCGTGAGATAAATCCGGTCTTCTTTGTTTATCTCATTTATGTTACAATGTGACATTTTCATGCAGACATTTGACATTCTTACGAACAACAGTATTATTAATTCATAAATTTGCATAAATATTGCAGTGCAATGCATTTTGTTAAAAATTATCAAAACGTGATTTCAACATTCGCTTGTAAATGGAATGTAGTATAGAAAACATTTGAGCCGAGCCATGACAAAACCAGCATAATGGGTTTGCGACCAGCATGGATCCAGACCAGCCTGCGAACCCGCGCAGTTTGATCAGGATCCATGCTATTCGCTTACCAACTCTATCACAAGTAGAGAAACTGATAGCGAACAGCATGGATCCTGATAAGACTGCGCGGATGCGCAGGCTGGTCTGATGCTGGTCGCAAACCCATTATGTTGGTTTTGTCATGACGCGGCTCATTTAAGCCCGCATATTTGTTTCCTTTAGTCCGAACATGTTGCTAAAAGACATGCAACTTACGACATTGTAGATCTATAATCAGTAATATTATGAATTCATTATGATCTTTTTATAATGGATAAGTCAAATTAACATTTTAGCCAGAAACATTCTATCATGTAAATGCATTTATAATTTGTTTAGTATGCTCCAGGCAATATCGTGCGTAGAATAGATAATGACATAACGTTTTTATTTTTATTTTATGACATTTGTATTTAAGGTCAACTTTATATTTGTTTACAAAAATAGAACGTCAGCTAAAGTTTTGTCGCTGATTATGGATTATTTTTTACCAGTAGGTTTATTTCCTAGCACTGCTGGCAACACCAGACAGAAAGCAAGAACCAATAACATTATCTCCGTGTCGTCTGCTCTGAAATGAAATACATATAATTGTTAAATATGTTATGCATTGTACTCTAAACTTTACTTGCAAGTATAATATACTCAGTTTAAGATTTCTGGCAAATTACACAGTAATAGTTCTTTTTGTAAGACTCTCATATTTTACATATTCTCAGCTGACAATTGTTAGTTCAATGACTTGATTTTGTCTACGTCATTGTAACGTTTGAATAAACATGGATGATCATTCACGTAAAATTACGATGACATTTGACCAATCGGTCACAGAGACCATGTATTAATACAGTGAAAGTGCCAAATGTATGTTATTAACTATTCAAGGAAGATTTTTTTTGCTTGAGTACTAGCAAAACATCTTCCTTTACATTTTTGTTCAAACACATTCAAAATCAGCTATAATTCGAAATTTCAATACGTTTGCGTAGATAGATACAGAAAAGCAGTAATAAAAGCAGCATACACGCACCGGAACTTTGATTTAGAGTGCATTACATTACTTTTTCAAATTTTAACAGTTAAATTTAGGTAAAGTTTTGAACTCACCGTTCACTAGAACAATAAAATCAAAAATCCAGACTTTGTTCAATTATTTAAATATAAATTTTCAAAATGATCCATTTGTCAAAACAAGTCTGACGGTTGTCGACGTATGCACTTACAAAATTAACGTTAACAACGTTGTGGGGGTTTGCGTGCGTTAACGTGATTGATTGTCATATTGCAAGCAAAACTGGTTTATTCCGGTCCCGGATAGTTTGTATGACTACGCCTTATACAATTTATAATTTTTGTTAACATAAAATTTCTGTATGCACGTTATATATGTTAATGAAATAAGGACAAAAATGAAAAAAAGGCAACAAACAAAAATCAAAAACAAAGAGAAAGAAGGTCAGTCGGTAGCTTGTTGCATGATATTAAAGAAACGTGGGATGTCACATGTAATACAGCCATTCATTTAAAAGTAAACAAGCGCACCATTTAACCGCGGTTGCGAGTAGGAACAATAACTGACTATACTTGCACTTGGATAGGTTTGCTAATCGATTTAATTGCTGCACAGAAGTGACATAAAAGAACATATTTTGTGAATCCGGTTTAAAATTTTCACCCGTTAAAAAAATAACGAAAGAAATGCGCTCATTAAAAAATACAATAATCTCTCTTCTTTAGTGTGATACGTCTTTATATTCTCTCAAATATATAAAAATATAAAACTCTAAAGCATGACAGTTTTTTTATGTCAGATATAAATATGTAATATTTAGACACACATACAAATATGCATGAAAACAAAGTACAAGTCGAGTATGACGTATACAGGGCTGGGAATCAAAACTGCGTCGTATCCTTAAAAATGTAAACAAACGCCGCCATCTTGGAACGAAAAACGTATGTTTTTGTTTATAACTCTTTTTGTTGGAAATGACTGAAAACCAGATATATGTATTAACACGCTACACTATTTTCCGCTTCGTTCGGTATATGTTGCTTGCACAACTATTTTGTAAAACAAAAGTTATAGCGAACTTGCAACTCGAAGCGGGGCAGAAATTTTTATGAAAAATGTGTGGATACGACGCAGTTCATATTGCTTTATCTATCGTTTTTTCCTTTCAAATACAATTAAATATTTTGTTTCAGAGTTCACCATAAACTTCGAAATATAATTTTGAATCATTTACTAAAATTTCGTTAAAAAGATATGTTTATTTTCTAAGAAAATAATGATTTTTTTTACGAAATGATACGACGCAGTTGAAATAAAATATGATACGACGCAGTTGTATTTTGGCAGTCTTTTCAACAGGGATAATTTTGGCAATATATATCTATTTTATGGAATAATCACTTGCGCTAGATAAAAAAAACCCATATCATTTGCGGTGTATAGCGATGTTCTGTTGCTTTTGATTATTTAGAATACATTGTGTCATGTCCAATACTAGTATAACATTTAACTTGAAAGTTTACATTGCAGAAGCTACTTTTCAGTTAAACATGAACATGTTACCTAATTGATCATAATATCTGAAATAAGTTCTTATATTTTCCTGTATGTTCAATATTATCCCGATTTTTTTTCGCAAAAACAAATGACTTTAATTCATTTTGGCTAGCTACGCGCTAAGTTAACTGTGGTTCTGCATGATCTGGATAATGACTGCTTTTTTGCGGTTTGTTTTCAAACTTTCACTCTACAAATTAGCTTTACTAGGGACGAGGACCTCAAGTGCGCTTTTGGGCATTATTTCAAGCAAAATGTTTCACCTGCAGAGAACCATCGACATTTTGAAACTAGCTTGAAAGGTTTTCTACACGAAAGAATAAAAAGTCCCTGGAGGTTTTCGAATTCATAGTAGTTCAGTTCAAGTGATTTGAATTCAGTAAACATAAACAGCTCGGCCTCGGTGGAACACACCTGTCTGATTTGTTTTTGTTTTTCAACAAAATGTGTTAACATCAGCTGTACTAATAATTAATAATTAAGCAGCTTTTTATTAACTTCTGGCGTGAAGTTTTAAGATTATAAATATTTGAATTAATTATAAAGAGAATAACATTTAAATTTCTTATTTATAAGACTAGCAGAGAAATTTTTATTGTAAACAGGGGGTAATCCTCTGTGAAGTCATTTTCTGAAACATTTTGTTTAAGTTTTCAGGCAATTCATTATCAAAATAAAAATCACACTTTTTAGCCATGTCTCTAGTCTGTTGAAAATTCGATGCAATAATCTGACCTAAATTTTGTTCAATATTGTGAAAACTTCTTCAATACTGTTGAAAGATCATGTCTGCCTATACCTGTATCAAATTTATCGGTGCACAGCGTAAAATACCTTTTCAAAACGGACACCTTCTTTACAAAGTAATTTGTAGTTGTATCATATGTAACTTGATTTTGAAAATTTAAAGTTTTTTAATGGAGAAGAATGATACTTAAGTGCAAATATAGAAAATACATTCCGTAGACCTTTCCTCATCGGCGATAAAGAAATGCAATACGACAAAATCAGCGGTAAAGTTCCGCGGCGCTGAACATAAAATGACTAAACGGAACGCATAACCTACTTGCAAAAATATATTGTAGCTTAACCATTTATAATATAATTTTAAAAATTTAAAGTTCAATTTCAAATAATAAAGCTCATCTGTTCTCACCGATTATTAGGAAAATGAAATCAATAATACAATAAAATCGGCACGTAAAAGACATAAGTAATAATGGAATTGACGGAAATTATTGCTAATTACAAATAACAAAAGTAGGCATGCAATTTGCGCATAGCTCTCTCCCGATAGCGAGAGACCTTTTCAAAATTTGTAATTCTTTCTCTTTTTTTTAAGTCATTCTTGAGTAATACAGGGTCCAGGAGAGATTACACTGGAATATTGAATTTTGTATCAAAAATAGTAATCACTCCCATTTCGAACTCACGGGAACAATTTTAGAAGCATGCTAAGGCAACACTGGAACACGTTGTTATATAGGTGTTTCAATGTATATTGCATTTGATACAACTTTTCGGAATTTGTAGATGCTTATGATAGGTACTACCGAAAAATGCAGCCTTAATAGAATTGTATTACATTTCCATTTTTATGGAACCAGTAAGTGACCTCTGCTTTTGACTTGAGTTGTAAACAAGAAATGTTGTTGGACGTTATTAGCATACCTAGCACATAATTTAAATAGTTTAACCAATATGCAGCCTGCAATGAAAATACAACTGCGTCGTATCATATTTTATTTTCAACTGCGTCGTATCATTTCGTAAAAATCATTATTTTCTTAGAAAATAAACATCTCTTTTTAATGAAAGTTTAGTAAATGATGCAAAATTATGTTTTGAAGTTTATGGTGAACTCTGAAAACGAGTATATAATTGATTTGAAGGAAAAAACGATAGATAAAGCAATATGAACTGTGTCGTATCCACACATTTTCATAAAAATTCTGCCCCGCTTCGAGTTGCAAGTTCGCTATAAGTTTTGTTTTACAAAATAGTTGTGCAAGCAGCATATACCGAACGAAGCGGAAAATAGTGTAGCGTGTTAATACATATATCTGGGTTTCAGTCATTTCCAACAAAAAGAGTTATATACAAAAACATACATTTTTCGCTCCAAGATGGCGGCGTTTGTTTATATTTTTTAGGATACGACGCAGTTTTGATTCCCAGCCCTGATACAAGGGAAATAACCATGTCAATTATAATGTAAACGATAATCAAGATTTGTTTACCTTTAGCTTGCTAAAATTGTAATTTGGATTGAAAATTCATACAATTTTTTAGCAAGAGAGTAATGAAAATACGATGAAAAAAAAAAAGAAAAAGAAAAAAAAAAGAATAGCGAACATGATACAACATATCGAACATTTAAAATGTACCATATAAAGTTTGAATAGGAAAATGTTTCTATAAGTAAAGATGAACACATGAAAATTCAGAAAGGAACTTTAGAGTCTTACGGTATATTTATTACTTTCTAAGATTTTAATGTATATTCTTTTCGAATCTCGAACGCTTTATAGACAAATATTGCTAGATTTCTTACAATTTGGACTGAATGAGAGTTAAACAGTTCTGCAGTTTAATACATATTTGGGTTTATTACGTAATAGTGATTCCTTGTTCCGTATCTGTTCTACACGGTTGTAGAAATCGAAAGTACAACATTTCTATCGGTTGACATTAATTCGGAGATGAGGTGTCAATAATTCTACATCGGTGGGCATTTCAAAAAAAAAAAGATTATGGTTGGCAGACATATTTTCGATCATAATTTAATCAAAATAGACTTAATATGTAAAAATATAATTCATTATACAGTATCAAAAATTACACCTTCTTTTTTGTTTACATCTAAAATCATGTTGAAGAACTACTTTCAATCCAAACACATTATGAATAATAGCCGAGGTGCTCCGATTGTTGATACCATTGAATTGAAAATAGGTTAATTGTTGCCCATACGCTGCACAAGTATATCGTCACCTCAGTTACAAATTATTTATCATTTAAGTGATTAATCTGTCCGTGCCGTGTCCTGTTTTTGTCTGGTGTCCGCCTGGGCTTCTTGCCGCTGGTTCTTGTTGCTGGGTCGTGTGGGGTTGCGTTCATTGAACGCCGCCTTTCCTTTATCATATTTTAGTGCAATAACTCGGTAACTCCTATCAAATTTAAAAGGACATAAAATATTAATTCCAATGGACCACGTGAGTTATTTATCTGTCGTGCGAAGTAAATGATAAGATTGAAAGGAATTATTGAAAGATGTACAAGTAAACTTATTTTGATTTTCACCTGTTGCCTCACTATAAATGGACATAATGTCACTTCAATAAAGAGTTTGAGTTGGCAAATGATATGGCGAAGTTTTATTTACGGTAGATTTCAATTTCATTGCCGCATTAGAGTTTAATTTATTTAAAGAAAAACAAAATAGTTTCCAGCAACTTTTATATTTAATAAATCCAATCATTTTACTTTATTTTAGAAATGATATATGAACGTTACATGTTATTTTCTCTGAACTAATCCTGAAATCTCTAATTCATTCACTTTATTTAGTTAACAATATATACGAACTAAGCATGAAATTCATGAAACATGAAATTATTATGTTACCACTCCGACGGAGATCTTTTTTACGGAAACATTTTCGAGTAAACTTTGCATGGTTAAGGAGAATCATGACTGGAACA